ACCAAAGGGGGACAACTTTATCACACAGAGCGTGGTGTTTGTATGGAATGAGCTGCCAGAGGAAGTGATGGAGGCAGTTACAATTACTACATTTAAAAGGCACCAGTACGGGTTTGTGAATAGGAAGGGTTTAGAGGAATATGGTCCAATTGCTGGCAAATGGGACTAGATTAATTTAGGATATCTGATTGGCATGGATGAGTTGGACCGAAGGGTCTGTTTCTGTGCAGTACATATCAATGACTCTAAGTCCCACTTATCCAATAATAAATACGTAAATATGATGCAATAGAGCGTCAGAGTTCTATTTATCGCAATTTTCACAAGGACAATAATTATTCAAAGTTACTTTACAAGCCAAAATTGAAGTAAGAATCATTACATTTTAGGAGTTTGTTCATTGGGAGTAATTTACGTTGCTCCACTCCTCACATGAAGCCTGATGACCAAAATAGTGTTGTCATGACTCTGGAATTAACCTGTTACATATTTTGCACAGAAGGCTAATCTGTCTTAAAAATGGATACAGAGTCCTGCAAAGTGGCTTCCAGGTGTCTCATGACTATCCCTGTTGATTCACTTCAGCCACAAAGGCAGACAGGCTAATGTGTTAAATGTTTTATAGGTGTTTCTGCTATAACGTGTGTTCCGGCAAAGCAAATTGGCTATAACATGACTAACAAATAGGGGAAACGCTATTTCTAAAACACGAACTTGTGTTGGCTATAACGTGATTCCACTGGTGCGTGGAGGGGTACGCATCAACATCACATGATCGTTTTGCAGGCTTTGTTCAGTATTCTTCAATTTTGGCAGAGATTTAACATCAAGAATGCAATTGACATTATCGTGGAGGCCTGGGATGATATCAGTAAGGACTGCTTGCATGCAGTTTGGTGGAAGCTTCTCCCAGACTTTTTCAAGATTTTCAAACCTTTGATCCGTCAGAGGAGCTCCCAAGAATCAAAGAACACTGTGTTAATCTAGCAAAGCAAGTTGGATTTGAAGAAGTGGAGAGTGAGGATGTTGCAGAGCTACTTGAGTCCCACTGTGAAGATCTCTCTACAGTTGATCTACAACTGAGGGGGAAGTGGAAGCAGGAGATGAAGAAGATGAAGTCCAGGATGCAGCACCACAAGAGCTTTCCACATCTGTTTTGTCTTCTATCCTGAGGGAAATTCAGAAGCAGTTGCAGCTTTTAGAGGACAACAATTACAATGCAGAAAGCAGCAGGGTAGCAGTTCGTGGAATAGGATCTTATTTGGCACCCTATGAACAGCTTCTTCATGAAAGAAGAAAAAGGGCAAAGCAGCAAAACCGGATATCGTTTTTAAGCCAACCCCGAAGAAACACAGTCAGAAGACACTGAACCACAGCCATCCACTTCTGGATTAACTATTTTTCACCCTTACCCTGAAACCACAACTGCACCTGAAGGTCGTGATGATGATGATGATGATGAAGATGATGATACCCCTCAGCCCCTGCATTAACAACAGAGCAACCTCAAAACCTCCTCCCCCATCAAGTCATCTTGACATTTTTTCAAGATAAGGTGCTAAATTTACATTTATTTCATTATTAGATGCAAATTAAACATTTATTCAAACTGCGCTATCCTTTGTCTTAGGAGTTTGAGTGATTTTTGAGCGATTTTGAGTGATATTTTTTGGTGGTCTGCCAACTCCGTTTTCCCAAAAGGCCCCATTATTTCTATAGCATGATTTTCTATAACGCAATGTTGCGCAGGAATACAACTATCGCATTATAGCAGAACCATCTGTATTCTTTTAAAGGTGCAGGAATCCAAAGCTTTGAGAAAACAAAATCAGAGATTGGAAGGACATCAAAGGGAACCAGCACTGATCCAGAAAGGAAAGTCAAATTTAACATAGCAGTCATCTTAAGATTGATCCATATAAATCAGGTTATGAGACACCGTTTAATCAGAACCTTTCAGTGAGAACTCTGAAAGTGACATTTCTTAGCCAAAGGAAAACAAAAGAGGGATTTTCAGTTATCAACTACAATTGTGCTTCAAAGAGTTCAGGCAATTTGCCAAAACCGTATAACTTCAGGAACAAAAACATTTCTTGCCCTTACATATTCTTACTTTACCTACTGATGTGTTTATACAATTTTAAGACCGTGACCGGTTACATACTTGTCTTCATTATGATCGTTCTCATGGTCACTTAAATCATCATCATTCACCAGATGGCCAAAGGGATCTGATGAAATAGAAACCATGGCAAGGATAACTCTCCTGCCACTGCTGGCAGTCAACATGAATTGATCATGTGAATGACTATATCAGATACTCCATACCCTGCATACAGGTACAAGCAGCCTCCAACTATTCAACTACAGTAGTCATCAGAGTAGCTGAATTATGACTTCAAGTTTTCAACCCCTTCAACTCATCTTCAATAAAGTAATGATAACAGACCAATCTTACTTTTATCTTTATATCTTTTATCCATATCTACTTTTAATCTTTGTATTTTAGCGAATAACTCACTTTTATAAAGCTTACTAATTTTCAACAATAGTTGTGGAATCAATTAACCTTTATCTTGTTTAAGTCTGAAGCGTTGCAGATGGTTATTTCTAAATTGGAATACTCAAAAAAGCTAAAATTGAGCTTACCAATTTTATAAATTCATAGTTCACAGGCCAGTTGGTAGACAAGCCTGGGGTGATTGTGATAAGTGGAGACACCGCCATAGGACCATTTCTCCAATTTTCCACTTGCCACTAGCTAGGCTCTGTATTGAGGGTACAGCCTATCACAGTCGCTTAATCATTTCTAAAACTACATTCTCCCCAAGCTCTGATAGAAATGTGTTGTAATTGAAACAAAGAAAAAACTGGCATGCATTTAGATTTAGTAATATATCCCTCTGATTTCGAAACTAAAATGACAGACTTAAGGACATTTTTTCCCCCAAAGACTTTGAACAGGTCTACAGGAGATCTGTGAACACAATCTTTTTAAACCAATACTTAGATATTTGAAGTTGGATGCTACAGTTTCAAATTATACTTCTTAAAAATTCTTTCACAGGGTGGGTGTCACCATGTAGGTCAGCATTAATTAGCCATTCCTAATTGCCTTCTAGACGGTGATGGTGAGCTGCATTCTTGAACTACGGCAGTACTCCTAAAGTACTTAAGGAAGTGGCTCTAGAAATAGTGGATGCATTGGCGGTCATCTTCCAGGATTCTATAGACTCTGGAACAGTCCCTGCAGATTGGAGAGTAGCTAATGTTCAAAAAGAGAGGGAGAAAGAAAACAGGGATTTTATAGACCAGTAAGGCTAACATCCGTAGTGGGGATCAAGGATTTTACAGCGGAGTATTTAGAAAGTAGTGGCAGGATCAGACAGTCAGCATGGATTTCTGAAGGGCAAATTATGCTTGACAAATCTGTTGGAATTCTATGAAGATCTAACTAGTAGAGGTGACAAGGGGGAGCCAGTCAATGTGATATATTTGGACTTTCAGAAAGCGTTTGACAAAGACCCACGTAAGAGATTACTGCACAAGATTAAAGCTCATGGCATTGGGGGAAGTGTACCCAGATGGATCGGAAACTGGCTGGCAGAGAGGAAATACAGCGTAGAAATTATTGGTTCCTTTTCAAATTGGCAGGCAGTAACTAGTGGGATGCCACAGGGATTGGTGCTGGGACCACAGCTATTCACTATATATATTAATAATTTGGATAAGGGAACAAAATGTAACATCTCCAAGTTTGTAGATGATACCGAGTTGGGTGGGAGGATGAACTATGATGAGGATGCAGAGATCCTTCGGCATGATCTGGACAGGGTGGGTGAGTGGGCAAATCAATGGCAGATGCAGTATAATTTGGATAAATATGAGGTTATTCACTTTGGAAGCAAAAACAAGAAGGCAGATTACTACCTGGATGGCTGTAAATTGGGAGAGGGGAGTCTGCTGCAGGACCTGGGTGTCCTTGCGCACCAGTTTCTGAAGGTAAGCATGCAGGTGCAGCAGGCGGTAAAGAAGGCAAATGGTATCTTAGCCTTCAATGCAAGAGGTTTCGAGTACAGGATCAGGGCTGTGTTGTTGCAGTTATACAGGGCCTTGGTGAGGCCACACCTAGAATATTGAGAGCAGTTTTGGTCTCCTTTTCTGAGGAAGGATGCTCTTGCTCTTGATGGAGTGCAGCAAAGGTTTACCAGGTTGATTTCAGGGATGGCAGGACTGACGTATGAGGAGAATTGATTGGGTTAGGACTGTTTTCGCTGGAGTTCAGATGAATGAGCGGGGATCTCACACAGACTTATAAAATTCTAACAGGACTAGACAGGGTAAATGTAGAATGTTTCCGATGGTGGGTGTGCCCAGAACCAGAGGTCACAGTATGAGGATTCGGGGTAGACCATTTAGGATGAAGATGAGGAGACACTTCTTCACCCAAAGAGTGATGAGCCTGTGGAATTCATTACCACAGGATGTTTTGATGCCAAAACATTGAATATGTTCAAGAGGCAGCTAGATATAGCACCTGGGGCGAATGGAATCAAAGGTTATGGGGAGAAAACAGGATTAGGCTATTGAGTTGGACAATCAGCCATGATCGTGATGAATGGTGGAACAGGCTTGAAGGGCCAAATATACTCCTACTGCTCTTATCTTCTATGTTTGTGTGTGGTTCAGGTACAACCACAGTGTTGCTGTAAAAAGTGGAACAAAAACAGTGCTAATACTGATCTTGTTCTTTATAAATCTATTATCATTGATTACCCAACCTTTTGATGCCTTGAGTGCATTAACAATCAACCTGACAATATGAAACTGGAAAAGGAGAAAGATTTCCTCTGGGTTTCCAGTCCTGTCCAATGGCCACTAGGTTAGCACATAATATTAGACATTGACGTGAAGTAATCTGTTAACAGTGCTACACAGTTTCTCATACTGGTATATGCTGATGTCTTTGTAATATTATAAGACTGTGACTGGTTACGTACTTGTCTTCATTATGATTGTCTTCATGGTCACTTAAATCATCATCATCCACCAGATGGCCAAAGGGCTCAGATGAAATGGAAACCATGTTGGACAGGATGACTCTGCTGTCACTGCTGGCAGTCAACACCAATTGATCATGTGAATGATTGTATCGGACACTCCATACCCTGTACACAAAAATAATAAAATATTCAACCTTTATATACAAAATAAACAAAGTACTGCCACTGACAAAAGAACAAAAGAAAGATAGTTTCAGAGCTGTCTGGGTCCTTGTTTGTACTGTTCCCTCACAACATATCAATTATTATTTTGATCAAAGTCAGTTACTATAGCAAAAAATTAGTTTGTGCCTAGCATGCCTGAACAGACTTACTCCAAACTGAGCTGAGTGTTTTATTAACATCATTCTTGTGAGTTGGCCCTTCATAATATTAGCCGGCCCAGGCTCCCAGCTTGCTTGCAGGCTCTGGGAGGCTGAGACAGGCAGGAGCCAAGCTGACAGCAATTGCAGGACTGTTGGAGGTCAGGGGTAGCACTCCAGCTCACTGGTCCCCATATTGAGTTAGAGACAAAAAAAACCTGCAGATGCTGGAATCCAAGGTAGACAAACAGGAGGGTGGAAGTACACGGCAAGCCAGGCAGCATCTGGAGGAAAGGAGCAGTCAATGTTTCAGGTATTACCCTTCTTCAGTCCTGAAGAAGGGTAATACCTGAAACATTGACTGTTCCTTTCCTCCAGTCTTGAAGAAGGGTAATACCTGACAACTCCTTTCCTCCAAATGTTACCTGGCTTGCTGTGGTCCCCATATTGAAGCAAGTTTAAAAAAATTTGTCTTTCAATGTAGCCATTAGTCTATTTGCTGTCAAATTTACAACTGGGGCATCTAAAAGAGGCTCTCTGAAGGAGCTAGCTTCCAGTTTGGAATTTAGCATACTCTGAATTAGGGACACAATTTAAAATTTATCATACTATTAATCATTTAGCACCCAGCAGGCTCAACATTTCTGCTTATATGATTCCATATCATCAGAAAATGTTATGTCCATTTGTATGCAATATTTTAACACTGTTGCTTATTTGTCCACTGTAACCATCAGAAAAAAATTACCTTCTCACAAATCCTGCAAGACTTTGCAAGGCAGCTATTTAAAAAGAAAAATATTGTTGCTCATATTTTGCATTATTAATTTTAATTTACTTTTCAGTACCAGAAGATCTCCCATTTCATCGTTCATCTGTCACTGGGAACCCGTGTGTAGTTTCTAATGTTTTTCTAAGTCTTATTCCAACCTAAATGTGACAACCATTCACCCATTACTTTAAAGCAGCAAGTTTATTGAAGTAATATATCAAAAGACAGACACAGTGAAGTTATATGTCCCCTCAGGTGGAATTTCAAAGTATTAATAGAATTGCAATTATATCTTATGCAAGTGACTTTGTTCTTCTACCCTTTCCCAAATGATTCTCATTCTCAATTATTTTCTTCCAGTTGTTTACATAATTATATACAAATGGTTGATTTGCTATGGGACGAGAACATAACCAAAGAGCATGGTCAAAGCTGAGGCCTAAATTCTTCGGCTGATTCTCTTTCTGTTCTTCCATTTTTGAATCCAATTCTCTTATTTTATTCTGTACAACTTCACTGAACTGATGTTTCCTTGCAACTTTATCTCTAACATACTATTTCTCCTGCCCTTTAGGTGAGATAGATGGCTTTAATTGGCAGGGAAGGATACCACAAATGCTTGCAGCTTTCATCTGAGGTGATGCAATAAGAGAAAATGGGGCCATCAACACATTCTTTCTCATCCTTTCCTCCAAACACTTATGGCTCTACCCTTATTCCCCTCATGTGCCCTTTCCATGCACTTTCCAACGACATTCCTGTTATGGCCTTTTGTGCTTTCTCTTTGAAGTACCCACAATATCAGTTATCTTGTATACTGCCTGCTGTTTTTCCAACATCACTTACATCAACTTTAATGTCCATCCACAAATCCCTTCCCCAACTCTTCAAAAGGGTGGATGGTACCTTTGGACAGCCACCCTAAATTAGTGTTTAAACTCTCCCTAAACTCCTTTCCATTTGTTTCCCTCAAAAATACTTTGATTCCTTTCAAACATGCTTTTGTTTTAGAAAAGAAGTCAAATTAGAATGAAGGAAAGATCTCCAAATGCCTTTCTTTCTATTTGTGTCTTTGTCTCCCTCTTAAATGTGTTCACAATTATTTCTGCCCCAATTGTACATGATAAATATGTGCATTTCTCACAACAAAACATAGTTAAGAGAATTACTTGTTTTCAACATTCAACTAGTTTTTCTTTTGGGTTGAATATTTTCCAATGTTGAAGAAAGGCAAATTTACCATCTCTGAAAAAAGGAACCATGACAGAGAATTCAACCAGTGGGGTGATTAGAAGTCAGTCCAAAGTGTAATTGTGCAGACACAATTTCAGTGAGATAATCATACTTTGTTTTCCCTTTTTCTGTCAAGGATGACACCTTCAATGTATCACCAGGCTGTGCTATGAGGCTCCATTAACTTTCCCTGCCCTCCCCAACTTCCACCCTCAACCACTTTACCTGCCCAAGAAGATTCATTGGGCTGGATTTTACATTATACTTCTGAATCTCTTTCTAGCCCAGCCCAGCAAGTTCCCACACATCTTTGAGCTCACCTGCATAATAGACAGGGTAGGCAGGCACTGAAATCAGCAACTCACTCACCATGTGTGAATGAAGGTTGCTAGAAGTGTTACAGTTGAGAGATGGGCCTTTTCCTGGCCTGCCGGCTGACAATATATTGCGAGACACACCGCAACTTGGATCTTAAAACAGGTGCAGAAATATTAGCTAATTTAGTTTACTATTTTAGTACAAAAAATGTTTCAATGATTAAGTGCTGATGAATTTTAATGTATATTCAAATGAAAATTAAAAATACTATATGTTCAGTAGCCTCCCAAAAAGTTCTTACAACTTTTTATCAATGTGAGCTTGATATTAAATACCCAAGCTATATCAAATGATATATGTATGGAGTAATTCTGCAAGCCAGTGATCCCTGCAGGGATTGATGCTCGCATTGATTGCATCTCGGGAATTAATAGATGGAAAATGGTGAGCTGCAGCCCTGTGAATCTCTCTCTACAAATGTATTCTCTGTGGAGAGCATTAGATGATGGAGTCACCCTGTAGTGCATGTTCTGACATATTTTTTATGCATTACAGAAAATAAAAAAAACACAATTAGATTTTGTTTAACCCATAATGTTTCAACTATAAAGTCAGATTGTTCACATATCAGTTTTTTATTTGGCTGTAAAGATACCCAAGAATTAACTTAAATGCTCTAGTCAAACCTTATTATCTAATATCATCATATAATATGTGAAGATGAGCACACATTTATATACGCATTCCATAAAGTGTTATAAGATAGCAATTATAAACGAAAACCCAGGCTCCCTATTGTGCTGTTAGCTCAGATTCTGAGTTCAACGTAGCAAATCTATCATTAAACTCAGCACAAATCAGAATACACCGAGACTGTGTATTTCAATACACCGGGAACAAAATCCATTTTAGTCATGAAAAAATTGACAGAAATTCGTTCAATTTTTCTTTCCACAAACAAATGACTCTCCAAGTCCAGTACGACATCTCTTTGGAACATAAGTTCAAAATTTTAACTGTTTCTTTATCCACAAATGTTACCAGATCTGCTGAGTTTCTTCAGCACTTTGCTTTTATTTCAGATCTACAGCACCTGCAGTTCTTTGCTTTTAACTTACTATTTTGTGTTCATGTGACTCTCTAAATAGTTAGATACATGTATTGTTTTTGCTCATATTGTACATTTGGACCCAGAATAGAAACAGTACCACAGGTTGCTAAACATCAAACAATTGATGGTTTGGTACACCATTGGACAAACAGGACATAACTAAGGCTTGTATTCTCATTTTAGATCAGAGTCTCAACAAATCCAGTAAATTAAGTTTTAACCAACAACAAAATGTACCTAAAAGTTTTAGCGTCAGTGCTGGGCTTCTAGCCATGCACCCAAATTATAATTTGCGTCACAGATCACACTTACATGTTTCTAATGCAAAAATGAGGAAAAAAAACGTCTCTTGTCATTTGCAACTTTTAAACTCAGCTCTTGATGGGTAGACTGAAAAACGACGGGAATGAGCAGAAAGAAATGAGTGAATTGCCGTTTTGATCAAGTGAAGTGAAAACACACTTACCAATGGGAATGTTCTTCCAAAGTCTTGACTGGTTCATGGACATTTCTGGTGTCCCAAAACTTCACTTTACAGTCATCCCCACAGCTTGCTAAGTAGTATTGCTTGTTGGGATTGAAGTCAAGATCTCGTACCAATTGGCCATGGGCATTTTCGATGCAATAAACTTGACTATATGAGAAGAAAATGTGTAAAAAGTTGATTTCTGATGCAGCAATATGTCAAGTTTTGTGAAAATGAAAAATGCTTATTATTTATTAAAATAATCTCTGTACAGTAACCATCTAAACAGTAAGCAGCCAATTATAAAAATCTCAAGGATATCTCATGACAGCTTACAAAAACAGATTTGCTGCAGAATTCTTTTAAACAAGCATCTGTAAATGGATAAATACGAAAAGTGTGGAAGATTTTTCAAATATGGATGACACAATATACTGCTTGACTGGGAATTTTCTAACATTTTATCACAATTATATTTATGAGAAATAACAAGAACTGCAGATGCTGGAGTCAGAGTCAACACAGTGTGGAGGTGGAGGAACGCAGCAGGTCAGGCAGCATCATAAAGTCGATGTTTCGGGTCGGGACCCTTTATCAGATCTGATGCTGCCTGACTTGCTGTGCTCCTCCAGCTCCACACTGTGTTGACTATATTTATGAGAAACCTAGAATAAGAATTGGTTTATAATGACATGCACTTCAATGCAGTAGGGATCTACTCAGACTTCCTGAACGTTTGCTAGTTTGCCAGATGTTGAGGAGGACACTTCTCACCAAGGCAAATATTTTCCATCAGCTTTGCTGTCCTGAAGAGGGTGTCTCATACCGGGATACAGTTCCAATACACCCATTTCTTCTTGGTATCTGAGAATCTGGTTTGGGAATGCTGGCAGTCCATTTCATTGTAAGGACAGAGTGTTGCTGTCAAATGTTAACAATCCACTTATACACAGACTGTAGCAAGAGTTCCTGCAATGAGAACTCTGATTCTTCCCAATTAATTGCAGCGCCCTGCACTGGCTTAGACGCTTTAAAAAAACTGTTTGAAAATGAATTACACATTAGTCCTTACAAATAAAATTAGAAAGTGGTTAGGGAGAAGCTGTTCCAACTCATGAAATGATCAAGAACAAAGGGCACAAATTTTAAGTAACTGACAAATGAAGCAAAAACAAACTGAGAATTAGACAGAGAATTAGAGAGAAACCCGACAGTGTGGGAAAAATGTTTTTACACAGCTCATAGTTAAGCTCTGGAAAGGCACTGTCTGGGAGTGTGGTGAAGGCAGGTTCAATTGATTAGACTGTTATCTGAAGAGGAAGAATATGCATGGTGACAGGAAGAAAGCAACAGAGTGACACCTGTGATCTGATTGTTTATGATGGTCTGATTGGCCTCCTTCTACACTGCAACAATTCTGTGATTCTGTGAAATTAAATCAGTTTTGTCACAATAGTGATAAAATATGAATTACTGATTTCCAAATTCCATCTTCTGAATTTAACACCTGTGACTCTGGATCTGCTTGTGGCCAAAAAGAGAAGATAGATGTTTGAGTGAGTGCACGATTCAAACTAACTGAAAAAACTCTTTCCATACCTCTTAAGAAAGCAAATTGCCCAGTTATCACACTGATTAAAGGGAAGCATCAGGACACCCAGAATGTAAAAGGATTTATGCAATATTCACTTGCCACTGATAATACAGGAAACCAACTGAACAACCACAATCTCATGTTGAAACCTTATGCCTCACAGACACTCCAACAGCTTTACACTGCATATTCCTTTCAGTTTCCTACTGTACTGGACACAATCCTTTTTTTAAACATTGTACCTGTACATGTATACTGAAGCCACACCTTATTTATTTGCCCAGTGTTAGCAGTTAATAAAATTACTCCTTAGCTCACTTGGTAAAAAATCTTATGATTCATTCCTTTCTGATCTGGTAGAAATTAATTAACAATATTTTAAATTAGAGAGAGTTTTTGCCACATGTTTAAAAAATCATTTATCTTTGTGGCATCCATTGGAGGAGATTGAACACAGTGCAGCCAATTCACACATCCTCAGCTGGTCATAACAGTTTGAGGGAAAACAGTGGTTCTGGAGATTAGGAATCCAGAAACCCATGAGGGCATGAGTTTGAAACTCAGTATGGCAAATTATGAAGTATAAATTCAATTATAAATCTGGAATTAAAGGCTGGTCGACTGGCAACTACCAAACCATTGCTGATTGTTGTAAAAATCTACCGAGTCATTTAGGGAAGGAGATCCGACATCTTACCTCGTCTGGCCTCACTTCCAGATCCACAGCAATGCGGTTGATTCTTAAATGCTGGTTGATTTCATGGTTACAAAGCATAATTAAAGGTATTAAACAAGAGGAACCACCCAATATCAACCAAGGCACCAGAAATGATAACGATACGCAGCCCTGTCAGCCCTCCAAAGTTTATAGTAATCTGCATGTTTTATGCCAAAACTGGGGGAGGTATCCCACAAAGTAGTCAAGCGTTACCGGATATAGTCATTCAGATGAAAACTTATTTTACTGACAATGTCTTAGGCACACCACCATCATCCCAGGTATGTCTTATCCAACCAACAGAACAGGCCCACCTGACATAGAAGAGATAAAATGATAAACAGTTGGGAAGGAATTGGCCTGGGAATCTTCAACATTGACTCTGGGCGCATGAGGTCTCATGGCATCAGGCCAAACATGAACAAGGAAACTTTCTGCTATTTAGTTTCTATCACACCCTCCTTCCTCGCCAAATGAAATACCAGTTGTCTACCATGTTGAACACTACTTGGCATATGCACACAATGACAAAGACACAGAATGCAGTCTGGATGGGGGACTTCAACGTTCATCGCTAAGCATGACCTGGTAGCCCCACCCTAACAGAACTGGTTAGGTTCTAAAAGACATAGTTGCTACAGTATCTGCAGCAGGTGATGTGAGAACAACCTACTTGACCTCATTCTCACCAATCTACCTGTAGCAGGTGTTTCTGCCCATGATGGGTAAGATTAAAGATAATACCAAGAGGCTCAATAGCTATATTGAGAGTAAAAGGGGGACTAGGGAGAGAATAGGACCCCTTAAAGATCAGCATGGCCATCTATACGTGGAGCCACAGGAGATGGGGGAGATCTTTAATGAGTACTTCTCCTCAGTATTTACTGATGACAGAATCATAGATGCTAAGGAAATAAGGGACACAAGTGGGGATGTTTTGGATCACATACATATTACCAGAGAGGTGTTTGCAGCCTTAAAGTGCATTAAGGTGGGTGAATCCCATGGTCCTGATCAAGTCCATCCTCGGACATTGTGGGAGGCTAGGGAAGAAACTGCAGAGGCCCTTGCAGGGATTTTTGCTTTATCTTTAGCAACTGGTGAAGGTCTGGGAGACTGGAGGGTGGCTAATATTGTTCCATTGTTTAAGAAACGTAGCAACGACAAGCCAGGGAATTACAAGCCAGTGAGCCTGACATCAGTGGTAGACAAGTTATTGGAGAGGATACTGAGGGTCAGGATCAACCAACATTTGGATAGTCAAGGTCTGATTAGGGATAGTCAACATGGATGTGTGTGTGGGAAGTCATGTCTGATAAATCTTACAGAATTTTTCAAAGAGGTAACCAAGAGGATAGGTGAGGGTAGGGCAGTGGATGTTATCTAAATGGGCTTTAGTAAGGTCTTTGACAAGGTCCCTCATGGCAAACTAGTCATGAAGGTGAGGTCGCTTGGGATCCAGGGAGAACTGGCTAATTGGATTCAAAATTGGCTCAATGGTAGGAAGCAAAGCGTGATAGTTTAAGGTTGTTTCTTGGACTGGAGACCTGTGACTAGTGGTGTGCCACAGGGGTCGGTGCTGGGACCTTTGTTATTTGTTATTTACATAAATGATCTGGATGTGAATGTACAAGACATGATTGGTGAGTCATGATACAAAATTAGGAGGTATTGTAGACAGTGGGAAAGGTTATCAAAAATTACAAAGGGATCTTGATCAGATGGGGGAGTGGGCTGCGGACTGGCAAATGCGATTCAATACAGGTAAGTGTGAGGTATTGCAATTTGCAAAGTCAAACCAAGGTAGGACTTATACTGTAAATGGTAAGGTCCGGTGGAATGTTGTGGGTCAGAGGGACCTAGGAGTACAAGTACATAGTTCATTGAAAGCAGCATCACAGGTAGACAGGATGGTAAAGAAGGCATTTAGCATGCTAGCTTTCATCAGTTGAGGCATTGGGTATAGGAGCTGGGACGTTATGTTACAGTTGTATAAGTCGTTGGTGAGGCCACACATGGAGTATTGTGTACAGTTTTGGTCACCCTTTTATAGGAAAGGCATAGTTAAACTGGAAAATGTGCAAAGAAGATTTACGAGGATGTTGTCAGGGCTAGTAGGCCCGAGTTATAGGGAGAGGTTGGCCAAGATAGGACTTTATTCCTCGGAATGTAGGAGAATGAGGGGTGACCTTACTGAGGCGTATAAAATCATGAGGAGCATAGATAGGATGAATGCATTTAGTCTTTTTCCCATGGTTGGGGAGTCGAAGACTAGAGGGCATAGGTTTAAGGTGAGAGGGGAAAGATTTAAGAAGGACCTGAGGGGCAACTTCTTCACGTAGAGAGTGCTGCGTATGTGGAATGGGCTGCCAGAGAAAGTGGTTGAGGCAGGTACAATAGCAACATTTGAAAAGACATTTGGTAGGTACATGGATGGGAAGGGTTTAGAAGGATATGGACCAAACGCGGGCAATTGGAACTAGCTGAGTGGGCACCATGGCCAGCATGGACCTGTTTGGGCCAAAGGGCCTGTTTCCATGCTGTATTACTCTATAACTCTATGGGCTCTAAGTGGCAAATTACATTTGCACCACAGAAGTGCTCGGCAATGACCATCTTGGAAACAAATAATCCAACCATCACCCCTTCATATTTAATGACAATACTGGTGCTGAATCTCCCACTAACAACATTCTGGGTGACACCACCAGCCAGAAACTGAACTGGCCCAGGTACATAAATGCTGCAAGAACAGATCCAAGTTGGGATTCTGTGGCAAGTAACTCACACCTTGACTCCTCAAAATCTGTCCATGTACAAGGCACAAGGCAAGAATGTGATGGAATACTCTCCACT